CAAGTATTTCAATTTCTTCTCCTCAATATTTCATCACGACGTATTTATATTTCTAATAGAATAATTAGAGACATTCAGTAGGTCAGACTTATTACGGATTTATACGACTGGTAACGGATGTTCTCAGCCCTGGAAATAATAATGTTTAAATGTAGAGAATAATCAATTATTCTCTAGAAATAATTCCGATTTCATTAACTAAATATTTTATCAAGAAAAATGTAAAATCATTCATTCTCTGAAATTATTAACATCCAATACTGGAAACGCGATTTCTTGTATCAATCTCAAATTAATAACTTATATCTTTTTTAAATTTAGAGAATTAATTTCCTGAAGGAAATGTGAATTTCACGTTTCAGTATTGAACGAATTTAATTCCGTAATAGCTAAAGTCGATCGATCGGTCGAATTTTTTTTTAGTTCACTGTTTGGAATTTTTTTGATGCGTGTACCGTGTTTTGCAACGATGATATGGAATGTCAACGATATTGACGTTGATGTAACGGCTCGAGAATAAGTTTGAACGTCTCGCAACGTTTAACCTTTTAATTGATTAATCATCTCGTGTTTTGCGCTAAATACTCGCGTGGTGAACTTTGTACTTACACAAGTGCGCTCATATCTTCGGGCATTAAACGTTAACTGTTTACATTCAATGTCCGTTTGCTCCGCAGTTAATTAATTGACCAGCGTTTAATAATATTGGAGAGTTTCTAAAACTGGAATATGTATACAAGTATTATGTTAATCGATACACAAAGAATTATGAAAACAGTGTTCATTGTCTTTGTTATAATGTTTCTTACATTTCTCTTGGTAGATAAATTAATGCGTAATATTCTCGATAATGTTTATCGTCTTTATCGCAAGATTTTTTTACGGTTCATTTCGTAGATAAAAGGGAGAACGTATTAACTGTTTGCGCAATTATGTTATTCAGTTCTCTGTTTATAATTGTAGTTGATTTCGTGTATTAGTATTGGTCGACAGTTCTTTTTGCCAGGGGCGGTGGATTTCCGTCGCTCGTTTGATATCGATAAAATCTGAGTTTCGTGGGTTAAGAGCTCTATTAGGCGAACCTCGTTGCGTGCCGCGTGAAGGACGAAAAGGGGATGATACGAAAAGGGGCTTGAATAGAATGAAAATTCTCGGCACGGTCAGGATCGTAACGACGCTCCATACATCTCGTTTGGGTACTCGAGCACGAAATCTGTTCATACGGTTACGATATTTATGAGCAACACGCGTCGGTGCCATTCACATTCCTTGGCTCACGATTATGAAAAAAGTACACACGGTTGCTCATCCCGGTTGCTCTTTTCAATTTTCACATTTCAAACATTTTATTATCTTCACTGTTTTCATATGGGAAAGGATGGCTACAGAATATTGCAAGCTTTTTTTTATTAAATGCAAATACAGGAAATTTATACTGACATCGCTGGAAATTGATTTCTCACTGCTTTTAAAACATGTTTTTCCTACAGGAAAAACTATAGGTAAAATATTTGTATATCGTTTTTAAAATTGTAAAACGTTTTCGTTGTTTATTTATTTAACTCTTGTCTCCCATTGGAGAGAATATTGCTGGAGATAGAGTGGAACCTCGATATACGACATTAATCCGTTCCTGATGTTCCAACTTATACCAAGTAGGACGTATACTGAACGACTGATTACAAAATTATTAATCCGTTCTCATGTAAAAAAAGACTCCTATTGATGTTATACATACCTGCATTAATGGGGTTACAAAATAATTTAAACACTGTTTAAATACATAAATAAAAAATGAGATTTTATTGTAGATTTTTAAATTTAAACT